CACTTTGGCTTTTTAAATTGAAATATTAACTTTGCACTAGAAATTCCCCGAATTCGTTGTAAAAATAATTAGTAGTAGTAATTGTAAAAATCCTCAGTCCCCTAAAAATAATTAATAATTAACGATAGGTGAAGATAATTTTACTTACTCGTCTGTAAATCAAAATTGCAATAAATAGTTACTTACTGTGAGGCATAAATTCGTGAAAATTTAGAGAGATCTAGTGGGATATTTACAGGTGTCTAAATATATCTACGTAAAGTGTCTGTGATTAATAAACGTAATATTGCACGCTTGCAATTAGTATTTTCGCAACCGGGGAATCTTATCTTCGGTCTGGCCGCGTTGGTTATTTAATACGAGACATTTAACGCTGTTAGCGATACTTTGGTCAGTTTATAATGCGGCGAGATGGAGATCTGTACGAGTAGAGAAAGCAACATTTTCTCAATTTCCCCAATGATAAAACTTTTCTGGTAGTTACAAATTACTGGTGTTCATGTGCGATTAATGCCTACATCCGTCTAAAATAAATTTGTCGAGACTGACTAACTTGCTATAAACAACCAGATAATGCTCTCTGGGAATGATTCTTGCAGCAGTGAATGTACTAAAAGTGACTCTAATGCCTGTCGATGACCTTCATTTATTCTATATATATAGAAAGTTAAAGTTTCTCCCCACCTATTTTTGTTAGATAAAATATTTATATAATATAATAATAAATATAATATAAAAATAAAATATAAAACGTCGAAGAACACGAGGAAAAACTAATTTTATTAATTTTAAATTAAATTTAAATGATTTCTTCGTTATGTTTTAGAAATTATTCCTTTCAAATGTTGACCGCCAGAGTAAGAAAATAATATATAATAAAATGATTACGGATTTTATATTTTGCACTTGACAAAGCTGCCTATATATATATATTTCTAAAATATAACAAAGAAATCATTTGAATTTAACTTAAAATTAATAAAATTAGTTTTTCCTCGTGTTCTTCGACGTTTTATATTCTATTTTTATATTATATATATATATATATTTTTTATATTTTATTTTATATATAGTTTTATATTTTATTTTTATATATATGTATTATATATTATATTTATTATTATATTATATTTTATATTTATTATATTTATATTTATATTTATTATTTTTTATATTTTATATTTTATTTAACAAAAATAGCTGGGGAGAAACTTTTGGCCCACCCTGTATATATTATAGGTAGTTACGTACTTGCAAACGTTTGGTATCTCGCGTTGCATCGTCGCAAAACACTCTGACGTATGTCGCCCGCCAAGCAATTGCTGAATATCAGTTCATTGGCCCATCGATCTCTGTGAAACTTATTCTACTTAGCCCCCCTGTGAGTCTGTGACAGCATAGTTTATACTACTTGCCCTATAAAAGTACGAGTATCCTGTTTGTATGTATCCCTGTTTCTGTAATTTCACGAAGAAAAATTGTTTCGCAAAGGGACTTTATTCATTTTATTTATCTCGCGATAAAAATTTAAACGATGCCAGCCAAGAAATAAAAGTAAAATACCATTGAAAGGAATAAGTATATCTGTACAGTTTGGTAAATATTTGAGATACTCTTGTCAAGGGACTCGTCTCAATTAAGAATTTATTTTTACGATTGAGTGATAATTTCATTGTTTATTGTTTGTTAATAAAAGTTACATCAGGTATGCTTAGGTATTTTAAGCATCTAGGAAGGAGATTTTTAGACGATCCAAAGGCATATTTTTCACCATCTAGCAATTATGCTAGCCCTACATATTTCTCCGAATGGTAGCTACTTTAGGCGCGAGAGCAACGTCAATTCAAATGGTTGAAAATCAGTCGAAAAATCTGAAAAATTGAATATGCTGTTCCACGCATTAAAAAGTAACGAGAAACAACGAATATGTTACTCTGTGCATTTTTGCGACGAGCATGCAATAACACGACGACACAAAATACATGGGCAAAGATCGAATATTTTATTCTACTTTTAACATGACACGTGTGTTTATGAATAATTCGCCTGAAGATAAATTTGTGTCTAGGTTCGAAATACCTTCCGCTATTTTCAGAAGGCCGATACATAATACAACTACGGCAATAATCAATGATATTTTTCTGTTATCCGTTATATACGAGGAACGTCTCGAACGAATGATTTATGTATATCGAGGGACACTTTGCAATCAATATATTGACCGAGGCTCAATTATTAACACCGTAACGACCGGCTAATTTTAGAAGGGTTGCCGGCAAGAATTTTCTATCGAGTATTCGTAGAACGTGATTCTTCATCTGGGAAATCTCTAAAGTTTTCTAAAATTTTAATCTGCAAGGAGTGAATGTAAAACGAATAATAAACTCTTCAATTAACAACATTTAGTTTCTAAATATATATTTGTTTTTTTATTTTACAAAAAAAAGTAATATATATATATTTTTCATCTTATATATATTATATATATAGATTATTTACTTTCGAGATAATTAAAATTATTAAAATATTATAAATATTATTTATAATATTTTAATAATTTAGATGTAATAATTATTATATTATATAATATATTAATATATAATATTTATTTAAATAAAAATATTTTAATAATTTTAATATTTATAATACTGTTTATAATAATTTATAAATAATATTATAACATTATAATATTACAATTGAGTAATTTTATTGTTTATTGTTTATTAGTAAAAGTTACATCAGGTATTCTTAAGTATTTTAAGCATCTAGGAAGGAGATTTTTAGACGATCCAAAGGCGAATTTTTCACGATCTAGCACATTATTTATAAATTATTATAAACAGTATCATAAAATTATTAAAACTTTTATATTTAAATAATTACTATATATTAATATACTATATAATATAATTATATTTAAATTATTAAAATACTACAAATAATATTTATAATATTTTAATAATTTTAATTATCTCGAAAGTAAATAATCTAAATATATATATATATATTATTTTTTTGTAAAATAATATTGTAATATTATTTACAAATTATTATAAACAGTATTATAAATATTAAAATTATTAAAACTTTTATATTTAAATAATTATTATGTAGTAATATACTATATAATATAATTATACTTAAATTATTAAAATATTATAAATAATATTTATAACATTTTAATAATTTTAATTATCTCGAAAGTAAATAATCTAAATATATATATATAATAAGATAAATAATATATATATATAATTTTTTTGTAAAATAGTATTATAATATTATTTACAAATTATTATAAACAGTATTATAAATATTAAAATTATTAAAACTTTTATATTTAAATAATTATTATGTAGTAATATACTATATAATATAATTATACTTAAATTATTAAAATATTATAAATAATATTTATAACATTTTAATAATTTTAATTATCTCGAAAGTAAATAATCTAAATATATATATATAATAAGATAAATAATATATATATATAATTTTTTTGTAAAATAGTATTATAATATTATTTACAAATTATTATAAACAGTATTATAAATATTAAAATTATTAAAACTTTTATATTTAAATAATTATTATGTATTAATGTACTATATAATATAATTATATTTAAATTATTAAAATACTATAAATAATATTTATAACATTTTAATTATTTTAATTATCTCGAAAATATATATATACATATATAATTATAGATATATTATAAGGTAAATAATATATATATATATTATTTTTTTTGTAAAATAATAATATTATTTACAAATTATTACAAACAATATTATAAATATTAAAATTATTAAAATGAATTGATTAACCCAGACACAAAAGATATATTAAAGAGTGTCTCCATTCGCGATTTTAGGAGTTTATTACGAAAAGCCAGTAATATTTAATAACCTCTGAAACCTTCTTCGGTATCGACGGACGATAATCGAGAGAAGAAAAGAGAAGAAAAAAAAGAAAGAAAGAAAGAGTCGGCGGAGCAATTAAACGCAGGGGAGGGAAGCCCCCGGAGTAGGAGTCGCGGTGCGGGAGTACCCCTTAAATCGTCGATACTCGCCGCGTCGATAGCCCCGCGGGCACACCGACGCTCTCCTACACTCTCAGCAATTCCCCTTGTCTCTCTCTCTCGCGCCTCTCGTCCGGCGTGGCATCGCATTGTCGGCGCAGACGCCGTGGCAACGCTTATTGATCGCCGTGGCTCTCTGTGCGCTGTGCTCGGGTTGTCCCTGCGGTCGCCTGTCATGCGTCGTCGTCGTCTTTCGCGACGTAGCGACGGTGCCGGGCGTTAGGTATCTTTGCCGATCGCGTGTTCCCGTCTCGTCCGCCAGTTACCGGAGGTAGCCGCGATAACGACCGTGTTGCCAGTGACAGCAGACTGAACACCAAGCAGTGTACACGCTCTTCGTGTTTTCCTCCTCGCGATCGCGGCGGCAAGTGCGCGCAAGTTCGCTCGATCGAGGGAAACGCGCGTCCAATTGTGAAGAAGAAGAAAAGAAAAAGAAAAAAAAAAAAAATCGTCACACGGCCGCCTGGTCCATAGAACGTCCATAGAAAACGAGCCGCTCGTTCGTTAGAGGGAAAGGTATATATCTCGGCTTTCTCGGCTCGAGGTTGTTGCGAGGAAACAGCCAGGAAACGAGGCGATCGCGATCGGCGTCTCTTTCTCGAAGAAACGTCGAAGGTGAAAGTGAATCGGTTCGAGTCGCGGCGGAAGAACGCGTTCGCGAGTTGGCCGGATGCTCGGCCGACAGGTGCGTTCGTACAGGCTGTAGGCCTCACCCGGGACCGGCCGATCGTAACTCCCGGAACGATTGGCTCGAACGCCAGCTCCGGCCAACCGTTCGGACCAATCGCGTACGCGAACACATCCACCGGGACTTGGGCGGCTTTTCCGCGATTCTGGCTCGTTCAAAGGCCGCGAAAAGGCCTTCGAGGACCACGCGTCGCCACCACTCGCTTCTCACGGGGGAAACATGAGTCTGCTGTCTTCTTCCATCGGCAACGTTCGCTGCCTCGCGGACGAGGAGGCCGACCACAATATGCTTCAGGGTAAATCGTCCATCCCGCTTTCGTTTCGTAGATTAGACATTTCAGGTTCACGCTCAAGGTCGATGCAGCTGCGGCGGGCCTCTTGGATTCGGAAGGACAAGTTTGCGTGCGGCTGACGTCGGGACGCGATCGATCACGCTCCGAGACCGTGCTTTTACGTACGTGCATTCACGCACACGTACTCGCGCTCGTTACGTTTGCATTTTCACGTCGGTTTTTGTCAGCGACGCGTGAAAAAAAAAAAAAAAAAAAAAAAAAAAAAATAGTATTGCTTGTAACATTTTCAGTAGGTAAAATGATTCTATACTTTTCAATTTTCATGTAACTACAGAGATCCGCAGTCTAATCAATATCTTCATTTACGAATATTTCGCGCGATATCTAACCATCAATCGGAAGGACGACGGCGAGTGTGGTAAGTGTATATGGAAAGAGTCGACTGTTGGTGTTAGTGCAAAGGGTTGAAAAGGCAAATCTTCCTGCATGAAAAAACTAACCTAGGCAAATCTGCGTTCTTGACGTTTCCAGGACCGAACGGTTGTCCGAGGCGCAGGGGCCGGCAGACGTACACGCGGTTCCAGACGCTCGAGCTGGAGAAGGAGTTCCACTTCAACCCATACCTTACGCGACGGCGGCGAATAGAGGTCGCGCACGCCCTTTGCCTCACCGAACGTCAGATCAAGATCTGGTTCCAGAATCGGCGGATGAAGCGGAAGAAGGAGCTGAGGGCGGTGAAAGAGATCAACGAGCAGGCCAGGCGGGAGCGCGAGGAGCAGGATATCATGCAAAAGCAGCAGGCCGAGAAGCAGGCGAAGTTGCAGCAGGAGCAGCAGAACGCCGCGCTGCAGCATCAGCAGCAGCATCACGTGAGCGGCCTCGACAAGACGCAGAGCGATCTTCTGAAGGCGGTCAGTAAGGTGCCCACATAGGAGACTTTGCTGAGCCGGTTGTCTTTCTTTTAAAGAAGAAACAAGAGACTGGACGCAGCTTTTAGACGCAGACATCGAAGCGAAGTAGCTGGTAAAAGGTCGGCCAAAATGTGTGTGTAGAGGACCTTTAAAAAAAAAAAAAAAAAAAGAAAAACGAGAAAAAGTCGCTGTCCGAGCAACTTTGTCCCCTTTTGGAGCAGTCGATCGGTATTTGTTCCTTCTCCTCGCGTGTCGTAGCGGATGACTCATCGACATGAGTCTAATAGCTCGCCGCAGCTGCATCGTAGCAGTGGGAGCGTTAAGTGCTGCACGTCGCCGCACTTGCGTGTCTTCATTTTCATTTGAACGCAGACGAGCGGCGACTACGATCATTCAGGTGTCCTCGAACAAGGGAAAAGTCACACGAGGGTGTGAAGTTTCGTCGTCGAGCGTTTACGAGCGCGTGTTTGATAAAAAAAAAAAAAAAAAAAGAAGGGAAAAAGGAGGGATTATCGATTATTTATTATTGGCTCGTCCAACCTTTGATCAGCGTGCCAGCAAGCCACAACACGGGCTTGCGCAGTGTGCTCATTGCGCGAGCGATAAATGCATTTTTAACGAGAAATCTGTTGCTCGCCGAGACGTAAAGATGCGCGATATAGCAAATTGATTCGATTTTACCATTTGAATCAGCTTCATTCTTTCGTGTTTTTTTTTTTTTTTTCTAAACGTTGAAGATGGTAGAAATCGGTATTTTGATTAGGGCAGGTCAGGGGCCTGCGCACTAGACACCGGCAGAGAAGTTTCAAGAAGACTTTTCCTTTCAATTCGTTATTATTCATTTTCTTAGTTCAACAGTTGCAACATTTAGATTGCAATAGAATTCGGTGGGACAACTGTTTTTTTCCGTTCAAATTTCACATCGTTCGCGAAACGAAACGAAATGTAGAAATGGAAACGGCTTTTTAAAACTTTGGACGTAAAGTTCTAGAAAATGATGTCGGTTACCTTTTCGTTTCGCTTATCTCGGAGTAGTCCGCCGATAAGGTTAATGATATGCGCGACTGCAAATTGTTTAAAGAAACATTTCATCACCTCGAAAACGAGTGGTTTCAACCTCTTGCGCTGGAATGACGTGCCACGCACCGTCGAGAATTCTTTTTGTCCCAAAATTGTAATGTTTCCTCAGTTTTACGTATATTTAGGTAAAACAAATAATAAGTTTATTGCTTCTCAATAATTTTTATCCAGCTATATCGTATTGACGAGTTCAAAAAGAAAGCAACGAATTATTGTATACGGCTCGGTCGCTCGTTATGGTCCGCAATCAGTTGCAAGTGGTTAACCTCTTGCACTAGAATGACGTGCCACGCACGTCGAGAATTTTTTGTTCCAATAATTGCAATATTCTCTCAGTTTTAAGTATATTTAAGTAAAACAAAATAGACAAAACAAGTAATAAATTTTTTACATCTGAATAATTTCTATCCAGCTATATCGTACCGACGAGTTCAAAAAGAAAGCGACGAATTATCGTATACGGTTCGGTCACTCGTTATGGTCCGCAATCAGTTGCCAGCACAAGTGGTCAACCTCTTGCGCCGGAATGACGTGCCACGCACCGTCGAGAATTTTTTTTGTCCCGAAATTGTAATGTTTCCTCAGTTTTAAGTATATTTAGATAAAACAGAATAATAAATTTATTGCTTCTCAATAATATCTATCCAGCGATATCGTGCCAACGAGTTCGAAAGAAAAAGAAATCGACGAATTATTGTATACGTATTCGGTCGCTCGTTATGGTCCGCAATCAGTTGCCAGCGCAAGTGGTTAAAACATCACGTTATTGTAATTTACGCGTAACCATTTCCACGCGAAATGCGTCTCTGCGAGTTGTTTGGAACTCGAACAGTTCCAATGCCGGTGTTAGGCGTGTAGAGAGGCACTGATTGTGATGGAAAATTACGTATTATTATTCCTAATGAAGCTTGTAATTAGAACGAGGGATGGAGGCTCTTTGTTGAAAGTGACGCCGCAATTATTCCTACCGGATGTACGCTGACCTTTATAAATGCGCTCGAACATTTAAATATTTGCTCTTGACACCGATATTAAATAACAACGATGCGTCTGAAAGAGGGAAAAGCTTGGTTACGACTCTCCCTCCTCTCTGTTTCTTCTTTTGCTTATCAATTTTCCTCCACTTTCGAGAACGTTCGTCCTTGTGCGATGCACGTAAATGCTACTCGACCCGGCATCTAATCGATAACGCATCCCCGTGAATTCTCAGATTAATATTAAGCCAAGAGATTGCTCGCTGAATATCATCTTAGACTTTTGTGCAAATTTATATATATATATTTTTATATGTATAATTTATTGTGCAAATTTATATATATATTTTATATATGTATAATTTATGCAAATTTATATATATATATATATATATATTTTTTTTTACTGAACGCAGTTAACTTCTTGCGCTGGAATGACGTGCCACGCATTCTTCTTTCAAAATTCTAATATTTTCTCAGTTTCAAGTACATTCGAGTAAAACAAAATAGGCAAAACAAATAATAAATTTATTGCTTCTCAAATAATTTCTATCCAGTGATGTCATATGATATCGACGAGTTGAAAAAGGAAGCGACGAATTATTGTATACGGCTCGGTCGCTCGTTATGGTCCGCAATCAGTTGCCAACGCAAGTGGTTAAAGAAACGGAGATTTCATTCACATCTTAAATACTGTAACTTTGTCGCATGTATCTTTGTGTGCATTTTGAATGTTTTTACAATTCTTCGTTAGCCTCTCCACAAATGATAATCTGCATTTATTTCACGACACTGTGCAAAACTTTGATATTTTTAGTAGATCAGGAAACGAGTCTTTAGTCGTTCTTCCAGATAGTAAACGAATCTTTGAAAATCATTTTTCACACGTTGCAGAAGCATGATCCGATGACGTGGATCGAGTAAAAACAGACGACAAATTAAACACGTCGAGCAGTTCGTAGCAAATAGCCATTACTTCTCGATTATTTATTCGTTCGACTCAAATGTCCTTCGTGAAGTTAAATTTATCTTAATTTACATTTATATTGAACGTAAATTAGATGGCTGGTTGTAGAAAGAAACGAGTGAAATAGAATCACAAAGGTTCAGAGTTGTTAACACTAATACCATCAAAAAACGAATTGAATATGATTTGAATATGATCATTGACCATGATGGCCATTTGAATATGATTTTTCTTAGATATTTTATAGAAAGTGTATTTTTGAAGACTCGAATGACTTCTTCTCTAAAAATACATAAATAAAAGCTTGCTCTACTCTTATTCTATCGTCAAGATTTTCCTTTTTTTTTCCTTTTTTTTTTTACCTTCGTATCTCTGATATTAAAATTTTTGGCAGTTCTAAAGTTGAAAGAAGATGATGATGTCTGATGTCTCAGCTTCGGCTCGATTCATTTTCGATTTCGATTCTATCCGCGGACCGTTCCTTGTTTTCTTTTTGCGACGACGAGTCTGTTGCGAGCGTGTAAAATATAGCAATCGATAGCGAGACACACGAGAGCGCAGTGGTTTATGCAAATAAAGTCGTACCATTACCGGTCCGCGTTTCGCTCTTTCCATTTAAAGATCTGGCGTACCTGCCATTCGAAGGAAGCGGCCGCGCATATTTATGATCCTTGCCCCGGGTTCTTTTGGCATGCCACTTCTAGCAACTCCTGTGTATGACAAAAAAAAAAATTGAAAGTATCTGAGGCAGAAATAATGCTGGCTACGCTCTATAATATCTCGAACGTCTGTCTGCTGGAAATAATGCAACGTCGGATTGTCGCCCGTTTCAAAACCAATGGCGCTCGAACGGAATAACGCGGCGTGCTACTCGTCAGATAAGATTGGTTCCTGTAAATTTAATTTTCATCGACTCGTTCTGCCGCCCGTTCGTTTTCTCGCATCGAGACACCGAACTTCCGTACCGATATCACCCGATTTGATAAATTATAAACTTCGATTACTTGGATTATTATTATTATTATTATTTAGATCAGATTTATCATTATTATTGTTTAGATTAGTTTTTTTATTATTATCATTATTATTTAGATCAGACTTATCATGATCATTATTATTTAGATCAGATTTATTATTATTATTATTATTTAGATCAGATTTATCATTATTACTGTTTAGATTAGATTTATTATTATTATTATTTAGACCAGATTTATCATTATTATTATTATTTGTTTAGATTAGATTTTTTATTATTATTATTATTTAAATTAGATTTATTATTATTATTATTATTATTATTATTATTATTATTATTATTATTATTATTATTATTATTATTATTATTATTATTATTTAGATCTGATTTATCATTATTATTTATTTTTTTTTTTTTTTGTCAATTTATAGAATATAAATTTCGACTTGGGTTATTATTTTTGTCACTGATCGTTTTTCAGAGGCAGGGCGAGAAATTTATTTTTTGTTTTTTACTTTTCGTTTGAGAATTTGTCACACGGCATAAAGTGTAGAGATAAATTTCAATTTCTGACAAAATCAAATTGTCGAGTAATCCAAGTGTTTATTTTCTGATATCAAGTGGCAATTAATACTCTTCACTGATAAAAATCACTTTGAATTACTTTGAAAGTTTCCGGAGCTATTATCTTTTGTTTTTTTTTTTTTTTTCCCTTTTTAAGTGTTATCTTGCCATGTAGGTCAGATAGCGTCGCTGTGAATTGCCAAATTGTAAACCTTATTATTTATCAATTAAGTAACATCATCAGTTATGTAAGTGATCGCGTGTGTGCAAGAGAAATTTTTTCTTCAAATTGTTATCAAAAAAAGATGGAAGACATACAAGTTTTTTTTACAAAAAAATAATGAAATAATTATCTTTCACAAAGCCGTACGAACACACGTATGCATGTACGTACACCAGTGGCAAAGTTTTTCATTCAAAGTGCTCGACAAGGATTCGTTACTGCATCGAATGTTACAGTTACAGGAAATTGTTCTCGAGGAAGTGAAACCCTTCCTGTCGGGCTACCACTAGACAATCTATTCCTTCCCGCAAACAATAGTGTATCTACGGTACCATAACTAACATTCCAATTAATGTTGCTAGCGTACCGTATGATAACTAACGAAACGAATTGAAGT